CGCCAGGTGAAAGCCACGATTTTTTCCGCTTCGGGTTTTCAAAATAAATAAATTTTTGCTCACCCGTCACAATTGGATAAAAAATGATTTCCTTTTGTGGCGTTGGAGCAGCATTTCACAAATGACTTTGCGATTTTCCATTTGACGTTCATTCAAATTGTGTGGGACCCATTTACCGAGTTTATTGATCTTTTCCATTGCTCGTAAACCTNCTCGTAAACGTCTGCTGATTGTTTCTTGTGATACATGTAATGCTTCTGCTAATTGCCGTTGAGTTTGAGTTGGGTCATCATCCAATAACTCCTGCAATTGCTCGTCTTCGCATTTTTGTGGTCTACCAGAGCGCTCACTGTCTTTCACATTGAAATCATCATTTTTAAATTGTCGAAACCATGTCTCACATGTTTTAATCGATGGAGTGTTCACCATATGTTTCTACCAGCAAACGATGACTTGCAACAGCCTTTTTCATTTGAATAAATAAGAAAAGCAATGCGTGCCGCAAATGTTCTTTTTCAGGCACAAAACTCGACATGATCACTGAACGATAAAACAAAGACGCTAGTTTTTGGCGGACTCAACTTGTGTGTGTTTGTAGTTTTAAATGTCAGACGAACAAAATGACGTATGTGTCAAATTAATACGCTGCGTACTTTTCGCTGGCGCCATCTCTTAGTTAAACCGGAAAAAACTTATGCATACACCAGGTATATATATGATAAACAAACCGATAACATGTAACTAACTGTACTCTTTTCTATAATTCTTGATTGTCCTTCACAGCTGCCCAATCCTCTTTAATTATATCTGCGCCTTTCTCTCCTATCATTATCGTAGGTGCATTCGTGGGTCCACTAGTGATTGTTGGCATGATAGATGCATCGATGACTCTCAGACCTTGCATTCCGTGTACTTTTAATCTAGCGTCCACTACAGCCGTAGGATCGTTTCGTGGACCCATTTTAACGCTACCAACGGGATGGTAGAACATGGTAGACAAATGTCGCAAGTGACATCTCCAATACTCATTCGAATCAGGTTCAATGTGTCGACAACCCGGAATGTCCAAATGATACAGCCTTACTCCTCGTCGTGTAAATGTGTCGGTCTTCAGCATTTTCTTTATGAAGTCTAAGGACTTCAACAAGGTTTCAACATCTTCTTGCTGGGAGAACGTATTCGCATAGATCTTAACAGGAACCGCGGGATCCTTGCTACGTAGCCACAACTCACCCGAGCTCTTCGGTTTTAATACATACGGCATGATTACTGCCATATCAAATTCCTGAAGCATTTTCAATACATTCTGCTTTATCTCCTCATCTGCTGGAAATACCTTCCATATTGTATTCACATTATCTACATCCCATCGTGGATAATGAAGGTGAAAAAACTGTATGTCGGGATATTTGGAGTTCGCATCATTTACATTGACATTACCTATAAAATTTAAGCCACCGTTGGTTGCCAAAATACCTCGTTTATGTATCAGATATTGATAAGCTTCGTCCAATATAAATGTAGGCGATGGTGGTGTCGCGGTCTCGTTCTTGTAAGCTAAATGTAAACCTGGCCAACCGACATGATTTTGAAGATTTTTGCCGACTGGCAAATCAACAACGTTCGGTATTCCCATTTCGAGCAGATGCTGCTTAGGCCCGATGCCGGAGAGCATGAGCAGTTGTGGACTGGCGATACTGCCGGCGGATAAAATCACTTCCTTTGATGCTTTCACGTCGATCGACCTGCCATCCTTCAGAGTCACGCGTACTCCGATCGCACGAGTGCCATCCAGGAGAACAGCGTCGGCCCGGGTTGACTTCATCACGTACAGATTGCTCCTGTTTTTAATCGGCGATAAGAAAGCCTTTGCCGTACTCATCCTGCTACCTTCATTCAAAGTTCCCTGAGCCATGCCATATCCAATATATTTGTTGCCGTTGATGGTTTCCAGTATGGGTACATTCAGTTCACGAGCAGCGTCCATAATCATTTTTTGCGTATCTGTGACGCTATAATTAAAATATCTGATGTACAATGGTCCACCGC